AAGTTATAAAAATGGGAGAAAACTGACCAATAAGAAAATTATTAACATTTATGATTCAAAATAATATAGTTTTAAAAATAGAAGAATTGTTTCATAAATATAGGGAAGAATATTATCATTTAGGTTTTGACCCACGCTTAGAAAACATTATCAATTAGGTTACACTTTTACAAAATGAAGATATCTAAATCATAAATCTATACAAAAGATAAACTTACATTTGCATCACAAAGGATTAGTTTCATGGTCTCCCTTATGTATTTCATGAAATGTCTCCATGTATGAAAGATTTTGACTTGGATGCGATATGCAGTCTTCCTCGGTTTTATATCACGACAACTGCAAATTATTCGCCATTTTTGTTTTAATTTTTTCAATGAATGATGAATATAGTGGTTAAAAGAGGCTATATTTGTAATAGGTAGGGACGATATACGTTATGTTACGCAAATGTAGGAAAGAATATTTAGAAAATTTTAAAAATATCTCTTTCGAGGAATAAAGAATATTTCTTGAAGATATTTTGAATTAGTTAAGAAGTTTAACAGTTAATGGTAATGCAACTACGGTAAGTTACCGAAATTTATAGAAACCAAACAAAGAATAATTAACCACGATATTGATTATGGTTAATTTATAAACTTGGAGATGAAGCAATTCATTTATTTTAGTACGAAGATAATTATAGAAAATAGTTTTGCAATATTTTCTTAACAAAACGTATCTCATCCATTAAATGTCACCATGAGAATGATGATATATCGACATATGAAGAAAAGTTAATACGAAAATATTTGAAATTATCTTGCATATAACAAATTTAGTTATTATTCAATAACAATCTTAATATATTATTTAAATATTTTAAAAATCAGATATCAAAGATATTACCAAGATTTTTTCTAGTATTGCATTTTGACAATATATTTTAATATCTTTTTCAGTAAAATATAAATATTTATTGTTTTAATATTTATTTTAAATAATAGAATGTACTTTTAAATATTATTACAATTAATTTTAATTCATTTGGATTTATTAAATAAGAAATACCATTACTATAATATTTATAAATACAATATTCATATTCATAATTAAATTCCTAAAACGCATCTATACTATTAAATGTCACTCATAAATATCACTTATAAATGGGTTTGATATATATTTGACTGCGGGTATTTTATGAATTGATTTGTAATAACCATTATTTACACAAATCATATGATATAAAATGTTACAAATGATATAATATGCATAACCCAAAAGGAGAATGTCTGCTATATCGAATGTTAGAAATCTTATCACATATTCAATTACTTTGATGTATAGCTATACTACTAAATGGGTTTGAAATATATTTTAATTATATAATCTATAGGGTAGTAACCAAATTTTACAAATCATATGATATCAGTATGATATCAAATGTTAGCAATCATATAATATGATACAAATTATATTAGTATTCTTATGCATATTTCAAAAGGAAAATGTTTTATATAGAATGTAACAAATCATAATGTAGTAACCAAATGTTACAAATCTATACTACTAAAATGGGTTTGATATATATTTGAATTATATAATCTATAGTATTGTAACCAAAAGTTATAAATCATATGATATCAAATGTAGAAAATAATATCATATCATACAAATCATATCACATAGACCTAAAGGACAATGACTTCTATATCGAATGTTACAAATGTTAGAAATCATATCATATCATATTAGTATATTTATTCATATACCAAAAGTACAATGTTTTATATACAAATTCCAAATCATAGTGTAGTAACCAATGTTACCAGTGTATACTACTAAAATGGGTTTGATATATATTTGAATTATGTAATCTATAGTGTAGTAACCAAATGTTATAAATCATATGATATCAAATGTAGAAAATAATACGATATCATACAAATCATATCACATATAATGAAAGGACACTGGAAATATATATCGAATGTTAGAAATCATATGGTATCATGTTACAAATAATATAATGTCATACAAATCATATTTGTATAACCCGGGTAAAATAAAAGTATAGAGCATAAAATGAAATATGGTTAGGTTAATTAATGGGAAGAGGGAGATTAAATCGGGTATATGGTTAATAGTTAATGTGATATAATTTGTAACATTCGATATATATATAGATGTAGGACGAAAATAAATTACAAAAATGCCATTAATGAAAGATACACAAAACTTCCATCAGTCGATTTTTCAAGGGTGCCTTCACTTTTAATAGTATAGATAGTATAGATCCCGTGCTATGCACAGATATATATTTTTGTTTGCAAATAAAAGTATTTTTAGTTATATATAACTAAAATTACACGTAATAAACAACTCTGATTTATCATAAGAAGATGAATATACATATATACAAACCATTAACACATTAACTCCACGACATATGAATTTAGATTAGATTAGTTATAAAAATTATATTGATCTTAATTAGCCTGGATACAAATATTAGTTTGAAGCTTTTATATTTTACTTCTTTCTCTTGTTTAACTTAAGACTTTCCTAAATACCAACCTGCAATTTATGGCTTCTTTATCTTATTACATTTAGTATCAAAGTACTACTCACTATACTATTTCAAGAGTCTAGTGAGTAGTAAAATATAAAAAAAAAGATAAAAAATGTAATACAAATTCTTGAATGTAAAATATAAAATATTTCAAGCTATCAACTATACTATTTTATCAAAATTCATCCCAAGACGATAAAATTATGTTATATTCTAATATAAACTCTTGAATGTAAAATATTGATAGCTTTTCAAAATTATAGATCTTTTTTGTAGATATGAAAAAACATTGATGAAAAGCATATATTTTTGCATAAGTACAATTAAAATATCAACCTTGGTTTTGTAGATAATTGAAGTTAGTATCTTTTGTAGTGTTTAACTTCTTTACCTATGAATGATTTTTGTTTTCTTTCATTGCATCCTTTACGGTTCTTCAATTTCAGTGCTATAATTGCTTCAACATTTTTTCTTCTAAGAAAATCTACAAATTTGGTTACAATTTATAAGAAAAAATAAACGCATAAATAAAAAATAAACACATAAATAAATAAATAAAAAGACCAACCTGATCAAATTAGAGTGTTTTATCTAGACAGTCGATGAGTCTTTTTTTGGTTTCCCCTATGACCTCACATGAGTTACTTAAGCTCCATTTGTTGCCTCATAATTATCATCACGTCTTGAAATTTGAAAGCCTTGTCCGTGTGTTTTAAGATGAGTCTCTCTTACTCTCATTCCCTGAAATTTGAATTATCACCACCACACAAAATAAGCATTTTTAGAAAATCGAGAATTGATATAATCTAATTATGAAATATTCAATGCATTGACATGTTTTATTTACGATTATCTTTCTCGCTCTGTATGTAGCTTTTGCCTATATAAAGCAAAGATGAAAAAAAAATAAACATGATACAAATTAGGAATTGAGCATGAAGAGTTTGAGTGTTCTTATAGTTACTAACCTGGACTTTAACGTACATCAGCCAACTGGGAGTACTTTACATTTCTCGTCCACTTCAAACAAAAATTCTTATAAGGAAGTTTAAGACTATTGTCGTCGTTCCATCGTTTCGCCATAGATTTTGTTGATATGGATCCTATTGTCGATTCAACACTATCAATACGTCAACAGAAGTTTGGATCTATCTGTCTAAAAATTGAAATTTCATTGCATTTTGGAGAGAGTAAGAAGTTGTTAACATTTTTTTTAGGAATTAACAATTTCCGAAAGTAAGTAGAGAGGAATATTGTTATAGGCGTTGCAATCTTATCTAGGGAGAAAGATTAACGATGCCAAAACTGGTGAAATCATGGGTTTAATGTCAGAAATTTTAGGGGATTTTTTATTTTAATGAAGAAATCAGTTAAATAATGAATAGACAGGAACTGTTTTTGCATTTAACTTTTTTGTATTTCTTTTAAATTTCTTAAAACATATCCATGTGTCAGAATTTGATTGATTGTACGACTTGCGCTTTAGTATATAAGGGATATTGATATTAAAAAATTTTAAACATAATTATGTGTCAAAATTTTAAAGAAAATTATATAAATCAACGTAACTTAAAATTTATGAGAAAATTAGGAAATTGTTAGTTTATATTTAGATTCCATAAAAATTCAAAACAAACTATGTTTTCTATAATAATTGGACTATATTATGCTGAAAAAAAAAATTATTAATACATAGATAATTGCATCACATAGTTGATTAAAAAATGAAAAAATAATTGCTTCACATGATTCATCCGTGCATGAGTAATTTAGAAAATGTTGGTTATTTGAAATTTTGATGAACAAAACAGGTTATACTTTTTCTGTATTTTTTAATTATTTTTAAATTTTTTCATGTGTCAGAATTTGATTCGTCATGCGATTTACGCTTTAGTATATAAAAGATAACCAATAAGTATTTTTGTCTGGACGAGAACAAAATCTATACTTTCGGATCGGTTTTGGTTCGTGTATATCCATATAATAAATACACATACTTAGAGAGATTTTAAAAACACAAATATTATTACAAAAAGAACATTAATATAGAATTTAAATTTTTTGAGTCTTCTAAGAACTCAAACCAAAACGGATAAAAAGAAAGAAAGAAGGACGGACTCTCCATTTCTGTCTCATTTAATTGTTCAATAAAAATCCCAATAGAAGATGAAAGAAGGCACCTTTCACTGTTTCTTCTCCAAATAAGACAACTTTTGCTTAAGAACACGTGAGTCTTAATGGTTCGTTTCGACCAAAGTGGAAACGGAGGAGGCGACGGTTTACAGCTCTGAACGTCTACTCAAGTGATTGCGGTACGACAATGAAAAACCCTTTCTTATCAGATTTCATTCTCTGTTTCTCTGTTCATGTTTATGTACATTTTACTAAACCCTAAAAGAAGAAACTTCAATTTTGTCTAAAAAAGATTTCGGAATCAACAAATATGGCGCCGAGAAAGAAGACACCGAACATGGTTTGGGTGGGTACATTCTCTTTTCCCCCTTAATTTCTTCTATCGAATTAAAATGTCAGAAGAATCTTAATTTTTCTATCAGGTGTGAAATCGAAACAACCAGCGAAAACGACAACGGAGAAAAAGACATCATCAGTGATGTCTCTCTCAGATAGTGTAAGAACTCTTTTTTTTTACATCTCTTGAGTTTTGGTATTCTGGTTATTGTAGTTTGGTGTTAAACGATGATTCGAATCAATCTTAGATGTCATTATTGTAAATTATTTTTTTTTTTTTCAGGTCTCAAAACTGCAACTGTCTTCAAAAGTGAACACATTCTCCGCCTGGTCTCTCCTCCCAGAGGAGCTACTACACATAATCTCCGCAAAGCTAGAGGACTGTTACGATTTTATTCACGCTCGCTCTGTTTGCCGCCCCTGGAGATCCATCTTCCCCTTTCCTTCTTCCCTCCTACGCACACGCTATTCTCTTCCCTCTTTCGACAAGTTCCCTCGCAAAGGAAGAAAAGGCTTTTGCACCCTCGAGAAGTTTCCTGTCCTCTTCCGTGTCCGTACTCCTCATCATGGGTTGCCTTCTGAGTTTTACGTGGGAGGAATAAGACCAGATAACTCAGAGGTGGAGTTTCCATCTCCTGTCCAGTGCTCAGTGAAGATCCCAAACTCTGCTTCAACTTTTCTGAACATTGTTGACTGTCAGGTTATCCCTCTGGGATATATGTGTAGAATGGTCGGTTACGATCCTGATTCATTAGCATCACGTTACAGTGGCGCGGCTATTCTTCCTCTCAAAGGAGGAAGCGAGTTCGTCGTGCTCATCGGCCACTCTCATGATATGTTGGTGTTAAGAAGCACTGAAATGAGATGGATGCGTCTTCACAACACCTCAGAGCTGATTGCAAAGATATCGTCACGTTTAGAGGCAAGTTCTATGCTGTCTTTATCAATGGGGACGTATTCGCTATCGATCTGTATACTCTAGAAACGACTCCTCTGATTCCTCCACGGATAGTGGGCTGTGGAAGATGCAATTATCTGGTTCCGTATGATGATGATGAGCTTTATCTAGTTGAGAGAATCATCGTTCGTAACGGTGTGTTGTGTTTTAGCAAGCTAGCGTGTAGAGTGAGTGTGCTGGATGAGGAAGCTGGTGAATGGGTCGTGGTGAGTGATCTGGGAGATCGTGTGTTGTTGATTGGACAACCTGGGAATAGCTCTGGGAACTGCTCGTGCTCAGCTAAGGAGCTTCCTGATGGTTGTGGTGTGAGCGGGAGCTCAATGTTGTTCATCAATGAGATATTTGACGTAACTTATCCTTATAAATATGGAGTAGATACTGGAAACCATGAAGATGACTTGAATGTTTGGAGATGCTCAAGAGAGACTCGTGTGACGATCCTCAACAAATTTCCAATGGTGGCTATGAGGTTGGAGCACGCTGAGCCGTGATATCTCAGTTTGGATTGATTATCTGAGACATATGTTGGCTTTGTTTTTAATAGTTCCTTGTGATTTGAAGTTGGAAGTATTCTGATATCTGATGATATCTAGTTTTTAGTATCTTGAAACTATGTTGTCTTAATGTAAAAGGTTTGACTCATAAACTCTTGTAGATATGATGCTGAAGTAAGTCATGGATCTCAAAATTCACTTCAGAACTTAGGGCTAGGGTTTGTGGTAATGTGTGAATCAAGTAACTTATGAAAATGATGTCTATTGATGATACTCCGATCTCACTTATGTTTTGGTTTGACTGAGCTAGCTTGGCGTTAACTGGACCTTCCTGGATGTATTGTCTTCTCCTCGGGCTTTTATGATACTAACCGGGTTTAGAGTGAAGTGAAACCCGACTCCAAAAGTAGAGGATAATTGTAGTGATGATGACAGGAAATAGAGAATAAGGATGAGACTGCGAATGAGATGGAGGCAGCGAAGTTTATCGATATTTATTATAGTTTTGTTTTCAAAATATATGTGTATGCAAGTTTGTGAGTTTTCAGTGTGAATGGCAAAAACTAAATAGGTATGACTACTGAAGACTAAAAAGAAATACTATTACACCCATGAAAAGGTGACATGACCCTATTTAGTATTTACCATCCTTCAATTGACAACTTATCCAATTTGCAAGTCTTTTGTATAAGAAACATGAGCAAGTTTGATATTTATGTTCAATATCTTTTATTTCGGTTCGGTTAAAAACACCAAGGCCCAGTCACAACTTACAAGCACAATCCATGAGATAATGGACAGAGAAGTGAAACTTTTTGTAAGGAACTAACCAAGACAGTTTGTCACACAGCTTCCCAAGGCTGAAGCAAAAGACTGAAGAAGCAATGTGCACTATCCGCAAGATTGATCTTATTGTGTGGGCAGTCACGTTTTCATAACTACAGAATATAAGAAAGGAAAGCCCAACACTCTGTAAATCTCAAGACGGCATATAAACCACAAGATGAGCGATAGGTGTTGGAACCTAATGACCCAAAAGAGAGAAGCCTCTAAAGCTAAACACCATTCCCACATTCATCATCTTCAAGCAGTTTGAGCAACCGGTTCATCAGATGCTTCAAGCCTTCAAAAACAAAATATATATTTTTTCATTAGCCGCTAATGTTATGCATAAGGCCATATTATAGCCACTGTTATATAATACCTTTCGATTCCTTCCCCAACCTCAACTCTCAGAAAATTGGCAACCTTCACCGGAGAACCCACTTCCTTTGACAAATTATCCACCAATGTCTGTGCAATATCATGTAAGACTCATGGCCTTTACATTCAACAATGAACTATAATCATACAATTAAAAACCTAAACTCACATACCTTTATGTTTATAGAATCGTTCACAATGAACTTTTGCTCCAATAGAGCAACTTCTTCATAATATTTACGGAGACGGCCTTCCACCATCTTCTCAACAGCCATCTGAGACTTGCCTGTACTTTCTGCCTGTCATATACACCACACTTGATAAGACAACTGTTTCTCCATAGATGTACAGCTCAGTTTCATACAAAGTATACAAAGTATAGAAATTCAGCTCAGTTTCATACAAAACATAGACAGGCCATGATGTTAAGTATACAAGAGAAAAAAACAGTAAGTAACATCAAACAAACAGACCTCAAAAACCTCAGGCCCAAAGGGGAAGACACCAGAAATTTCCTGAGAACTATTTTCAACCAGCAAAGCGCGTTTCGCCATAGCTAAAGCCTGCATACATGTAACGGTAAGCTTATTATTCAGAAAAAAATAAAGCAAACATAAAAATGTGGCACTAACCAAGTACTGGAAAATGTCGTTTCTAGCAACAAAGTCTGTCTCGCAGTTTAGTTCAATCACAGCAACTTTCCCCTCATCTTGAGCAACAGCAAGCATACCCTCAGCAGCTGTCCTTGACGACTTTTTGGAAGCCAATACTTTTCCTCTCTTCCTCAAATCCTTCTGAGCAGCCTCTGTGTCAAACCCAAAAACACACACATTCTATATTAGAGATCAAGAAACAGCAGCAAAAGAGACCAATGCTTACCAATGTCCCAGTTGCATTCAACTAGAGAAGCTTTAACATCCTTAATGGGAGCACTGGTTCTTTGCCTCAGTTGCTTGATGAGGCTCATCTGGTCAACTACAGCAGGAGACTCCGAGCTGAATCTCCGCAAGAAATTCCCAAAACCACGAGATGGGCTTGCGTATCTAGACAATAATACAGAGGTCTTGTAATGTGATAGAGTTTCTAACTTGGTTGCCACTGTAGAGTACTCATTCCCCGAACTAAATCTACCACTAGCATTATAAAAGAAGACTCCAATGGGTCGTCTTGCCACCCTAGCAAACGCCATTTTTGCAACCTAAAACTGAAACCACAAGTGAGATTAAAATAAACTAAAAAAATCTAATCAGGGAAACGAAATCTTTTTGAGACATCAGGAAGCATGTGTAATGGTAATATATTAGAGACTAAATAAAGAAGAATATTGCTTGACTAGTAGAAGAAATGGCATAGAGATTTAGAGATCAAACTTACAAGCCTAAACGAAACTTATAGAGATATAATAAACAGCATAAAAAAAAAAAAGAACCCAACGTCTTAAAACGTTAATAATTATCTTTACAACATTTTAACCAAAGCAACTAAAGCATAATCAACGAGAATTTCCATGGAGAGAACAAGAAGACTACGTAAGAATTGAGCAAATCTTATTAGTATGTAAGGAAAGCTAAAAGCCTTTCTCACTCAAGAAAACACAGACATGTATTAGTATCATGTTCCTTGCCTTAATCTCATAACATCAAACATTAGAGAGAAGACAAGACACTCACTGATTAGAGTTGACTAGAAAGAGATGGAGGGCGTGGGAGACAGAATAGCTTAGAAATGGAGAGTACACGGCGAATGAGAGGTTGATTGGTTACTGGGATAACGGAGGAGACGCGACGGGCCGACGGCGATGGGTTTCGTAGAAACAGACTCAAATTGGAAAATGGTTTAAATTAAATGAATATGGGCCGAATAATAGCCCATTAAGATAAGTTTAATGACTGAAACAGTGTGTTCTCTCAAAATTTCCGATTGAAGTTCGTCTTAGAACTGGGCAAATGCTTGATATTCAGCGTTGTTGTTTGGTTTAATATTCGTTTTTGTTAATACATAAAGATACATTTTCCTAAATCATAGTAAAACAGCTTGTTTATATTTTAACTTTTATAAGTGAATCAAACATAAGAAATATATTTACATAAACATTTTAGATTTTTTTTCTTTCTTAATATAATCTATTTCACGAATGACTAAAAATCAGAAAAACAATGATAAAGTGAAAAAGACATTATTTCTATATATTAAATTTACTTACTTTTAAATTTCAATTAATTATCAAATAATTTACTAATAGTTATCAAGTAATTTATTACTTGTAAAAAGTTTACAAATAACCAATAATTAACCAATGGAAGTAATTTGCAAATCCATCAATTTTTTGAAAATACTCATTTTTAACAAATCAAATACAAGCTAAAATTTGAATACTCATATAAACCAAACTGAATACTAAATATACCGAAAAAAGCAAATAGTCTACTTGTGTCCCCCCTAGTCTGTCTTTCTCATAGCTATGGGCAGGTTCGCCTTCGTAAACTTTGTGGAACCATTTGTTTGGTTCATCCAAGGCTTTGGGCTTGTAAAATTTGGGGCCCCGTACTAAGTTTTTTTTAAAACTTACAAAGTTTTTTTATAATCAAATTAAAATACTTAAATAAATTTATAGCACATATCTTATATAATATTGCATTATATACATTTATAGTTCATTTAGTATTTTAATTATTATATGTATATTTGAAAAAGTTATGTATTATTATACATTATATTAAAAATATATAATTTTTAAGCTAGCAAAAAAATTTTTTTTTTTAAATTGGGGACCCTTCAAATGTTGGGGCCCATTCAAATGTTTCACATAAATGAACTCAAGCCCGGCCCTGGGTTCATCTTGTCTTGTTTTTTTTTTCTGTCTATGAAAGTAAAGAAGTTCTGGATACCTAGTGAAGGTCATAAGCAAGAAAATGATCAGCTTCACTGAGCAACCTCTAAACTTTACCAGTTTGTATCCAATATTTTGCTTATTGAGTCTTGATAAAGCATTTAAAGATAATTTTGTAAATGACAAAGTGCAATGAAACTTTGATCAAAATAGATATACCTTTTGAAGACCTTTTTCAGAGTGGATGAGATTCATCTTTGGGATAAAACCTCATACCAACTATATATATATACACATCAAAGACGAAGAGTATGATCTCTATATTCTTTTTACATCAGAAAGTGAGATCTAGTGGTCTCATAAGTAATAAGTAATAAGTAACAAATAAATTTAAAACTTAGAACACCACCAAGAAACAAGGTCTTATTACCTTACTACATATACTCATCACCTGTATAACCCCTAACCGCTGTCTAGCAACTGCAACTATTAACCACATTAGTGTACTTCCTTCTCTCTCATTCATTTACCCCTTTTGAGGAAAACTCCAACACTGTACATTAGATTCAACTACTCATCATATCTCCCTTTCCACAAACTCGGTAATATGATTGTTTTGTCTGTGTCTTTGGGCTGCTGGTTCTTTCTTGTTGCCCTAAACCACCAAGGGGGCTTCAAGTGAAGAATACTTACCTCAGCTTCTTCTCTACCTATTATGGTTTCAGACCAGCTGTAGAACTTTGATAGACCCATTTGAGCTAGCAGAAACAACCATATTCGATCTTTTTCTCCAGCACACGCTTGAAACAAATAGGTTGTTCTCCTCCTTGATATCCTTACCTGTTATCGGATCAATAGAGCCAAACTTGTACGAGGTAATGGGCATAGGAAGAGACCGGTGATAAGCATAAACCTGAAGGAACACCATTTTTCAGTCAGAGAGATCACAAAGTAGATAAATATATGAAATTATTTTACTAGTGTTCCCAAGTTTTTGGAGGCATACCTCATTTGTCTCAGAACCACAAGCTATATATCCATCAGCAGTAGACAAACCAACAAAGTTCTGAAAAAAGAGACAGGAACATGACTACTCAACCACAAAGAATAAAGAGGAACTCATTATAAGGATTAACTTGAACTAAAGTGTCAGTATTAGCTACCTTCTCGTTTGTATGACCGCCAAAAGTTAAGCTGCAAGCATTAGTAGAGAGACCACCGTGAGTGGTTTTCTTAAGATCCCAAAGCTTTAACGTGTTATCAGTTGAAGCTGTAACAAGGGTTTCATTATCCAAGAATTTGGCGTAGCTAACTGCTTTGTTGTGTCCTGAGAGTATGCACCAAGGAGTTCTTAAATTCCGTAGATCGTAGCAGTAGGTTCTGGAATCTGATGATCCAAAGGCTAGTAGATGAGAGGACTGTGGAGAAAATTGTACACAACAAACGTTTGCAATATTCCTGATTGTTCCTAAGCACTTCCTCTGCACAATTCATCCAAGGCTGAAAAATATGAACAACCTTAACAGAATAACCCTAACTGCAATCATGCATATATGTGCCAAATATCTCAGGAGTAGCTAAACGAACATAATGCACGTAAAGGTAAAGAAGAACATGCCTCATTGATGTTCCATAGTTTCACAGAACAATCATCGCTTCCACTGGCTAATTGTGTTGGAGAGGCTTCAGAGAAGTCAACAGCCCAAGCCCTCTTCTCGTGCTCTATGAAATGTGAAATGGCCTGTCCTGTTGTAACATCCCATAGCTGGATCCATCCATCATAATACAACTTGAATACATTAGATCAAAAGGAAAATAAAAAAAAAGGTACTCAAGTCATAACCAATCTAAATAAACCTTTATACCTTGATGATACCATCATAATCAGAGGAAGCTAAGTAGTTCCTGATGTAGTTGTTCCAGCAAACCCCGGTAAGATTTGATCTATTAGGCATTTCAACGGCTGGATAATGAATGTCAACAGACTCGTTGAACAGGGAATTGAAGTCGAATATCTTTATTTTCTTTGTCACACCAGCCGTGGCAAAATAATCTTCGTCCCTATCAAAACCCAGAGAACAAATTACATTTGAATTGCTGTTCAACTCCCCTGTCCTCAGCACACCCCGAGTTTCAAACTTGCTATATCGAGCGTATTTGCATAACCCATCGAAGAACGCTCCAACACGATCGTCTGAGCTCCAAGCCTCGCTATTTTCTTGTTCGGGTATAACATTATCATCACGACTTCTTAGCAGATCTCTATCCGGGCGTAACTTATAGCGTGCTTTAGGGCGATGTGCATCTATCCTTGCAGCAAAGTAAGCGCTTTCCAGCTGTTTAATGTTCGTGACAAGTCTCATTTCAGGTAGGCCTGAAGCAGATGATGAGCTAGAAGGTTCTTCCACAGACAGAGGCTTTATGGCACAACGTCTCTTGACAATTTCTTCTATATCAGCTTCTAAGGACACAATATCTTTCATCAACTTTCCAGCATGCTTCTGCCTTTTCTCTTGGGATGAAACTAGGAAATGCTGTAACAGGTCAGACTCTGTTTCATCTTGTTCAATAGCTAAAGATACGCTTTCAGCATACAAATCTGGAATTCCATTAACCACTTCTGATTGAAAGATGTCCCTGATACAGAACAACATTGAACTTGCAAAAATTTAGAGATTAAGCCAACTCATGATATAGAATCAAATTATAGATGAAGGAGCTTATCAACAAAAAAGGGGAGCTCGTTTACTCCAAAGAAGATATTTTTTCTGCGAAGAACCTAATTATCCTATTGGAAACTGTTATCTAGACAATCTTCCTGTAAACCTCGACTTTAGTGCGTTTTACATTTCCTATGTATTATCTAACACGACTCCCTTAACTCAGTTGCGAATGTGACCCTTAATCTTCAACAGAATCTAGCATACAAAAGTTCGATAACATTCTTTTATATTACTTTGTAGTTAATGTAGATAAAGAATTTGCACCTGGTTGATGGTCGCTGTGAAGGTTCTGGATGAAGTAACCAGAGACAGAACCCAGCTTCCTTTGGACTCTCTGACAGAAATTTGGCAGGAAGAATCCGGTGACGGATATCAGACATTGCAACCTCACGAGCTCTTTCACATTGAAATTCACTAAGCAGCTGACGCAAAAACCCAAATTAGAATATTAATGAGAATCATCTGTTTGACCACAGTCGAATGAAGAGCCTAGAAGTCAACTATATTGTCGACTAGAAACTACATTGTTAATGGAACATTAAGAAACATGCAACACAATCTAAACCTATGCGATAATCCATAATTGTTCATCTTGCATTCAGGTTACATAGTCGTGAACATGTAAAATGTAACATGGATGAAATGCAAACTCAGAGTCATAACAAAACACTTTACTATTAACAGGTAGCGTACGACTTAGAGATACCGAACATGGGCCACTCACGAACGGCTATCCCATGGGATAACTTATACTGGTATGTCACACGTAATGGGCTATGCGGTTCCACATTTTAGCCATGGATGAGAATATATTCACAACTGCAGGCAAAGCTACAATAAAAAGTCATACCTCAAACGAATTGATAAAAGTCATACCTCAAAAAGAAAGATACCCAGACTATAGATGTTTGAAGCAACTGAACGAGACTCCGCCATGAGCTCCTCGGGACTCGCATACCATTTCTCCTCCAACTGCTCACTCACTGAAGTAAACGGCAGTGCAGGTGTACTACAATGAGGTTGACTAGATCTGAAATGAAGCTCCTGAGTAGCGCCATCATCATTTTGAGTTTGGATACTGACGCCGCCAGCTCGTTGAAACATAGGCCACTGTCTAGAGTTTGGTCCACTTGATTTCTGCTTCTTTGCAGGGATGCTGGGACCGCCTCCTGTATCTCGTAACCGTCTTCTAACCAGAGGGTTTTCGAGTTGAGTTAAAGTATCTTTATTCATTTTCCTGTCAACAGACTCTCGCTGAAAACCTGAACCAACATACTTGACCTCGTTTTCCTTTGAAATTTTGAATAAAGATGGCCGTAGGTCACACAAAGCAACTCCTCGAGAATGAGACTCATCCACATACTCCACGATCTGCCTAAAGATATACAAACATTCTCCTTTGTTAACTTCCTGACGCTTTGACTTCAACCAATCTCTCAGACTTAAACCTTCACCTCCACAAGAAGATGGATTACTGGCTCTGGAGTACGGCAAAACATCATGATCATCCACTGCCAAAAGATTTCTGCCAGAAACCTTTGCTGTAGTATCCGATATTACTAAAGGGCTACCAGAACTAGTCACAGTTTGCTTATCCATATTAATATGTGGCGGTCCTCTGAATGTGACTCCCTTTCCTTCCAGTGTGTTTTTAGCAAAAAACTGAGAGAACCCAGACTGCGATAGCATCTTTGTCTTGATGCCTCCATGAGACAATGCCTCTAGATTTGGTTCACCATTAACAGCAATGGCAAGTTGCTCCCCAGTTGATGAAGTATCAGGCAACGACACTATACTTGGTGGTGCTTCCCTGTCACTTCCTCCCTTACTCATAGAACTGCTACTAGGTAAATCCCCATCTAGGGGAAACTGAATGCGGTTAATCTCTAACCTAGCTCTTTGACTTGATCTACCAACTATGGCTATGTTTGATGATCCGTCACAAATATTAACAGTCAACTCCTCAACCATGTCGGTGCCAGCATTATTTGTGTTATGCCGGCTAGAACATGGTTCATTCTGTGTTTCATTCACATTCTTGCCAACTAAAAAATCTGGTATCACGCCAAAAGAGCTATTATCCTGGATTTCGAAGTTGTCTGGTTTAAGAGATTGCTGACCATTTTCGAATTGAAGGTGAGCAGATTCGGCTTCACTGGGACTGCTGCTCACATCCGCAACTACGGCTTCATCCATTATTCACTGTATCATCATCCATTTTACACCGTTAGAGAAGCAAAGCATCAAACAATTTCTGATAATCAAAATTACTTAACAAGTATTCACCCCTGGATTCATTAGCTTCAACTCAAAGCATACAGAGCCAATCAAAATAAACAATTGAGAAAATCTCTGATTGAAATCACTAACACCCTTCATTAGTGTCTAGGGATGATATCCAGAATCAATACTGATAGTCACAAGATTTCTAACATATACACCAAATTTTGAAAACACAATCCCATAAACTGAAAAATGGATTTAATTATTTCCAGAAATAGAAGGCGTAAGATTACCAAAATTAGGTAAAAGCGTGAGAAGCCTTCAAAATATTCAGACAAATCAATCGCCGAAGCTAATCATTGGCGAAATACAGATCCACCGACGTAAATCGGAGGAGGAGGAGGAAGCGAGAACTAGAAAAACAAAACGACGGAAACTTGAGTAAACGTCGGAGATTCGATAAAATATCTTTTCTACTAAGGCAGAAAATTAATTTGACTGTTTTTTGAGTAAGAGACAGAAGAGGAAGACGACACAGATAAAAGTTATTGTCGGCGGCTACAATAAACTAGACAATCAAAACAAAAACAATATAGAGTGTTTGTGTTATCTGAATCGGTCCTTCAAGTTTCTAAATATTTACATAATGTGCCAATACTTTTTCTATAGATTTTTTTAATACTTTTTTGTCAACCTGAATTATGCAAAATTCACAATATACAAACACTGCCTTACGTAGGCAGAAAAAACTCTGCTCTTGACGATTTGTCTCATTTTGCTGTTATCTTCTTTCTTTGTCTTGTATACACCTTACACGGTGTTGTACTAGTATTAGTAACATAATCTCTTCTGGTTGATAATAGTTCGGAGAATCCTTCCATTTCAACGAGAACCTGTTTCTTCTTCTGCCTACATGTTGTGTCGCTTCCACCACTCGTATGTCCACAAGAATTAGATACCATCAAATCAACTAGATACCTACAGACTTCACCATGGTCATGGATTGATGAAACTGTCCGTTGCATTTGTTCTTCAACTTTCTCATCTTGAGTTCCATTCCTTTCCATTTGTTTTCTGCTCGCCTGCGGTATTGGTCAAACGAGATAGTTATGAACTGTAATTGAAACCTTATTATTAGCCTGATCTGAAGTTACTAACCAAGAATACGAGATTCAACTTGGTCACTTGGTCAGAGTTCAATAGCTGAGCTTGCATAAGCTCTCGAAACAAAATTACAATCTCGCTGCTGATGTTCGTCCCATTCAGATTCTGAATCATGCTAGAGATGCAAGACTCATCAAAAACGCTTCTCAGCCATGCCGGTTTGTTCTTGAGCCTTAGCATGGCGACGGTCACATGGACCGCAGGCTTGTGGTGGTTCACAAAGGTATTTGATGCAGAACAAGGCATGGCCAAGGACACTGACATTTCTTCTGTAATAAACTTGTACCATGAGCTGGTCTTAAGCATCTCTGTTCTTCCTTCCATGTCTTCCCATCCTAATATCATGGACAGACAAAGCGCAGAGTTTGTCGCTACTCTTATGTCATCATAGAATACCAGACCACTTAGTACAGCCTTCATTGATTTCAGGTAACTCGATGAACAACGTAGTTGCTCTTTCCTAAAGTCGATCTGTTGTGATAGTCCAGTGAACAGCTCCAAGAGACAATAAGAGACCATGAGCTTGATTTGCGGTGCTCCAAAATGCATCAACCTGCACAAGTTATGGCAATGGATGCAGACTACGGGTAGTGTTTCCAGGTTGCCTGATGGGTCACAGAAAGTCTGCCAATCCACAGCTCCAGCGAGAACATTCTGCAGGCTACAAAGCCAAAAGGGAGTCGTACCGGTTAGATGTAGGATCTATCAGCGTGCACAAACTTCAGCAGCTACGTACCTTCTTAATGAGAAAAAGCAGAGAGGTAACGTGAATGCTAGAGCCTCCCCGACGTCAGTTTCATCCTGAGACTGAGTCAATCCTGGACCCCTTGAGCAAGCTACATCAACCACAGTGTTGATAGCCGATCCCAAGTACGAATTCACCACAATAACTCTTGAAGAATCCAAAAGTGCGCCCTGTGATGAGTGGTACAGAACCAAGCAAAGAATGCCAATCACCATCATACCTTCATGGTTCTGTGTTATGGCAGTGTCTCGCAAGCTCAGATAGTTTAACAACTACAAAACGAAACGGATTCAATGAGATCTTCAATTAGAAAGATGACAATAGAAAAGGTTAAGTGGCCACACCTTAATAAACACAGCATCCCAGGATTCATCATTTTTTAGCACTCCAGGTTGCACAGACGCTAGAATGTTGAATATTAGCACAAGCAGTGTAGCGAAAGATGTTTCCATGGCTGAGTTTGTAAAACCACAAATCAGTCTATGAATTGCATTGCCAATGCCATCCATGGATAATTGGTTGGAGGCAGTTGGAAATTTGGAAACGACTGTCGTCATTAGATTTAAAACTGAGATAACATCATTATCATGCGCTCCATTATCTGCGAGGTGTGTCAACAAGTTAACCAAAAGAGTTGCGGCATAGCTGTCTCCTTCTGATACCAGCTTTGCGAACCAATGTGTGAGTGATCGCTGTCTGCCATCTCCATATACATTGTAAACTTCGTTTCCGATTAAGTTGTTCCGGGCAAGCTTTTGGATCTGGTAAGTTAAACTTTTGCTGATATTTTCTTGTTGAAAAAGCCACTTGAGAGATTCCAGATGAATATCACAGGAACCCAAGTCCCACTCATATTCGTTTAGTAGATGGAAGACTATCCTCTCGGCTTCTAGACTGTATGATATCTGGTATCTCTTGTTTTGAAGACTCCTGCACAGACTATATAGATTCACTAGTTGCAGGATAGCTGGAGAATCAGAGAGTAAACTTGTCCTGTTGACAAGAATATATTGCTCCAAAGAAGCGAAGACAAGCTTATCGTCTGCAAGCCTGCAAACGATGCAAAAGAACATAAGAAGTGAGACACAAATTGCAGATCTTTAGTTCGTCCATCCAAAAACATAATTAGCATTCAAAAGCATAAGTCACCTGTCATTGTGTATCCAACCGGTATGGAAAATAATCAGAGCTGCAAACTGGCAAGAAACCAACTCTTGATTATTGGAACTATCTTGCCCGAGCAAAAACAGCAAGTCTTGTGGATCAGAAGGAAGACTGGGAAGCGCATCTCTGATATGTGACCCCAATTTCTGTCTATGAAGAACATCGACAAGGGAACTGAGCATCAAATATATCCTCTGTTTCATCTTAGCAGTAGAGAAGTTTCCTAGACATCCAAATGAAAAACTGAACCAATCTGCTGAAACAAGTATCTCCGCAAACTCCACGACCTGAAAATCTGAATTCTGTAGAAGAATAGAGTTAAAGGTTTCCATTATGCCAAGAGTTGCTTCTTCATTGACCTCGTTGACATCAGAAAGTAACCACGGTAATAGATGTGATACACACACATCTATAACACAATGTCTTAGCTCAATGCAACTGGTATTGTCTATGGATGTTGGTGAAGTACAGTATGCATATACTTCACTGATTAAGTAGACTGCATGGGAGATCTGAGTTGAATCATTCTCAGGGATACTAAGACAGACCAAAACGGCATGTCTTAGGGATTCTTGCAATGATTTAAACACATCCGGAGTCTGAGCAAAAGATGGGGTTTTCATTAGGGAAACAAAGAGTGAGCAGATAATTGCAAAGGCATCCGGAAACAATCCCATCTCTTGAGAATAATATCTTTCAAGCATCCTTTTCAGAACCAGAGCAATTTCCTGAACTTGAGATTTTGAGGCAATCCCAGGGAAATCAGAAATACAGCTAGAGGCAAGATTTAGTGTCTGTATTTGAAAAGGGTGACAAGGAACTTTGGCAACATAATGAAGCACTTGAATAATTGAAGGAAACCCAATAACAAGTTTCTTTTGAAAGGAATGCTCGGCTAGGGAAAACAAATCAAGAACTCTGAGGCATGAGTTGATGACATGATCTTTACAATCTGTTCATGAAAAGGAGTTCGTCAGTCAGATACACCTAATCTATCAATATATCAAGGAGACTGTCATTACCTGATAACCGCAGTATCTCAAATATATAATCAGCAACATTTTCTTCCACCAGAACTTGAATCGGCTTGCTTGGAATACTCTCTTGAGACACGTAATGGAAGATAAGATCAACGGTTTTTATCTGCACCTCGCTGTCAGTGGAAAGCAACGGACCTTTGATGGCCTCAGCAAACAAGATATCTAAACAAGGCGTGGCAGTTGCAGTTGCAGTTTCAGCCGTCAGCATGGGATCATCATCCACTTCATCCAAACTCATGCTGCTGACAGGACTTGTACGTGAATCTGCTATAAGACCTTGCTGGGCCAAGATGGTTAAAAGGTCTACAAAGTTACAAAATCTCTGTTAGCCAAGACAAAGCAAAAATGTATGGTAGCCTGAGAAGTAAAGTTCTACTAAATGAAGGCCTCAAACAATCTGACATGGTTCAAAATATATGTTAATCACATAGGTAGACAAACCTATACAATTCAAGCGAACATCATCTCTTTGCGTCTTAGCAAGAGCTTCCAAGGATAGGGATAAGAGCTTAGGACACAATGAAGAAAGAAGCTCAGCTCCATCAACATCTTGTTCTGTGAACTGTAGAGCAGAGAATTTGCACAGGACAAAAAAGATTTCACCGCGGATCTCCTCACTAGCATGACAAAGAAAAAGATAAATCACAACAAGCCTCATACACACAAGATAGTTAAAACATAGTGGTCATCCTCATTACCTAGGTAATTGAAGACCTTCAACAAGTTGAAAAACAAGAGATTCTTTATCTCTTATGTGAGAATTGATGTCTATCTTCTCACTACTCATCAGAACTCCAAAGCAATGAAGCTGCAACACACAAACATTAAGCAGCAATACGTATGAGAGATCGCATCTTCAGAAAATCCACAATAACTGCAACTACAGATCAGAACCTAATCAGATGAATTGCAATTTCACATCTAACCTAATCAATCTCAGGGAAAATCCCCAATTGAAACCCTAGAAAGGCAACAATACCATATGAAGCTGTCTTCGGCTCCAACCCAAGGCACCAGAAGAGAGCTGAGCAGAGACTCTCTCCACGAAATCCTCACCGATGGAACACTCCTCAACGGAGCAGAGAAGAGAGATTGTATCCATAATCTGGCTAGCGATCGGAGCATCATCGAAGATTGAGAGAGCTTCGACGAGAGGCGATACGAGGAAGTGAACGTGCGAGGAGAGTATAGTTCGGAGGAAAGAAGGTTCGGAGAGAGCGATTGAGAGCTGGTGAAGCGCGTAGGAGACGTGGACAGTGGGGGCGCGTGGATTGGAGACGAGATTGGAGAAGCAGTGGAAGCAGAATGTTCCGCCTTGGTCTGTGCGGAGAGAGACTGTGGATCGGTGGCCGTGGGCACATGGCGGAGATAGATGGTTAAGGTCCGCCGCTACAGGCTCACGGAGAAGATGATCGGAGTCTTGCACCTGAGAATCTAGAAAGAACATTTTTTGAGAGAGCGCTAAAGAGAAACACTCCTCATAAATTCGAATTTTTACCCAAATATTATATTTTTTGGGCAAATCTCATAAATAACACATTTCTAAATTTATATCACAAAAATAGTCCTAAAAACTAAAATGACCAAAATAAAATTTTTTCTTTTGAAATTTTTTTTAAAAAAAATCATTTTCAAAAATTAAAATCTTATCCTCAAAACTCCACTCCCAACTCTAAATTCTAAACCCTAAACCCTAAACTCTAAACCCTAAACCCTAAATCTCATTCCTTAACCCTAAACCCTAATGTCTAAATTAATTTATCATTGGATATAGATAGGTGTATATTTATCTCATTTGATAAAACATTAAGTGTTATTTTGGTCATTTTTATATTTAAGTGTTATATTTGCGACAAAAAAATTTTTAATACTGTTTTAGTCATTTTCTCACTTTTTTTTCTAACCATAATTTTATTAAATCAAACTGTGTAAATGAATGTCGCCAAAAAAAAAAGAAAAAAAACTGTGTAAACAGACGATAAAAATAGTCAATTAACCAAGAAAGAGGTACAGAAATGTTGAAATTTTTGAGTTATCTCTTAGATTCATTTTCGCCAATCTATCAGCCACTTGATTCGTTTATCTGTTTACATAATCGAGAGCATAATGGTAGCTTATTCATCCAAAATCTAATATCAGATATTGAATTTCCCAGTTCCATATCCTCACTTGATGTAATAATGATATGTGTTAATATTGAAACTATCACCTTTAAACCAAACCCATTTCCATCTTCTTTTGTTGTAACGAACGTGAGAAACGAACTTATACAGAAACAAATGAATAAAGTGATGTAACTACGATACAAATACTTAACATGGATCACCAATTTGGCAACGTCTACAGGCAAAGAGTGATCTTATTATTGGACGTGATATTGAACTTACATAGTGCAAGTTTAGGGTTACTTCGAATACCAAATATATATATAGTAGCATCTCGCATCTAACACCATACACTATACGGACTCATGGGCCTAAGTCCACGATCAGATTAACATCCAACTTCTAGATGCAACATTCAGATTCAAGGCATATAAACAAATCTTCACTTTAACTTGAATCCTCTCAATAATAGATGTACCAGATGCACCTTCAAGTGCCAGATATACGAGATGCGATTCTCTGCGCCAGATGTGTTCTTCAACGTCAGATATACCATCGCTCTCTTTGCCTCAGATTTCCCTTCGGACTAGATATGTTGCTATGACGAACCAGACGCCGTTTAATGGCCAGATGTTCGTCATCAGCCAAATGTCCAAACAGACCAGAAGCCCCAATAGGCCAGATGCCCTTGCACATCAGATGCTTCAACAAGTCATGTCTTTGCGGACCAGATGTCCCAATGGGCCAGATGTCTTTTTGGACAAGATGCCCCAACATGGCCATGTGCCCCAACAGGCTAGATGTCCCAACAGACATGGCGCTCTAAAGGGCCAAACCATATACATGGTCACATGAACATCCGCAGCGCACAGAATACTGATAGGTACACCCAGAAACTTCACGAACCTTTTCAACACCTTATTAATGTAGTCCTTTTGTGATAAGAACAACTCATTCTCTCTATCTCTGAAAATCTCCATCCTTAGAATCTTCTTTGCTGCATTCAAATTCATTCATCTCAAATCCAGAACTCAAAAGCTTATTTAGCTTCTCGATGTCACACATTTTCTCTGCAGCTATCAACATGCCATCCACGTAGAGTACCAAATAGATGAACGTCACATTCTTCAACTTACTCACGTAGACACACCAATCATAAGGACCTATGATGTAATCCAACTTGATTATATAGCTGTCGAATTTCTTGTAACATTGTTTGGGAGATATCTCAAGTCCATAAAGTGACTTCCGAAGCTTACATCATAGTTTTCTTTTTCAGAAACTTGGAAACCATCCGGTTGAGTCATGCATATCTTCTCCTTTAGCTCTTCATGAAGACACATTGTCTTCACATCAAATTTCTCAAGCTTCATAACCTGACGTGCTACCAGCGCTAGCAACACTTTCATGGAAGTATCTCTAACCACAAATGAGAATATATAACTATAGTCTACTTCATCTCTCTGATTCAACCCTCTTGCTGAGCTTTATTCTTAACTCCTTCTGTCGGCAATGCTCCATCCTTAATCTTGAAGACCCATTTGCATGTAACATCCCTTCTCCCCAATGGTAATGTGATCAGATCTCATGTATGATTCATCTGATGAAACTCCACATCTCTCGTTGCAACATGCCATTTCTCACACTAGGGGACTAGAAATAGCTTCCATGTAAGTGGATGACACATCCACTTCCTCTGCAACCTGAATTGCATAACCCACCATATCGTCGAAGCGATATCTCTCTGGTGGCCTGACATCAACAATTCTTGGTTGATCCTTCGTGATGCTATTCTCTGTAGCATCTGGTGTTTGAGTCTCCGTAGACTCCAACTGAACTTATTTTACACACTCCTCTTGATATTCAGTGTGTTCCTGCACATCGATCGCTTCATGATCATCTTGCAGTTCCACCTGTTTATTAGTGCTATCCTTTTCTGCTTCAGAACTGGACCTTGAACTTCTAACCATAGATGTTTCATCAAATACAACAATCCTGCTTAAAATCACTCGGTTTTCTGATGGAGACCATACCATGTATCATTTGACTCCATCAGCGTACCCCATAAACACTCTTAAAAGTGAATATTCAGCAGATATATGCGATCACACCTCAGAAGGTTTCCAGCACTCGATACCTGTGTAGGAACAAAATTTATCAAATAGCAATCAGTGTTAACTGCTTCAGCCCAAAATCGCTTCTCCAAGCCAGTACTCGAGAGCAAGCACATCGCTCTCTCTAGCATTACCTTGTTCATATGTTTTGCAACACCATCCCGCTGTGGTGTTCTCATATTTGTAAGATGCTTGGCAATTGTTGCATCCTTGCACAACTGTTTGAACTCTTCTAAGTAGAATTCCAAACCAATATCAGAATGAAGCAGATCTTGCTTCGACACATGTCGCATTCCACGTTCACTCATAGGTCCAAGCCTCATACGCCATAGCTTAGTCATATCTTCCTCTGGCGATGCAACATTTTATGAACCGGTAATCATTGTACCCTTCAAAAAATATAAAGTACTGTTCATGAAACCCTTCAGAATCACATCAGAACCCCTGTAGACATTCAGAACTCCATCGCCATTCGAATATTTGAACCCTCAAATGTCTAGAAGACTCACATATATCAAATTCTCCATCATTGATGGAACATGCCTAACCTTGTTCAATGTGCATAATCTACCATCATGTGTTTTGAGCTTGATTAGCCGATCCCGACAATATTGCAGACAAAGTTGTTTGCCATCTTAATCTTGTTGTCAAGTACCTCTGTGTACTCTGAAAACCACTCTCTCCTCAGTGTCATATAGAAGCATACTCTTGTGTCAAGGACCCACATATCAGAAGAGTGTGTGTATCCATGCACAACAAGAGCGATGTCGTCATCAGACTTGGTTTCATCCTCGGCTACTGCAACAGACCCAAACTGCTGCTGCTTTATCTTGGGACAGCCTGACTTCCAATGTCCCTTCTCTTTTCAATAGTTTCAAAATAGGAGTTGGCTTAGGACCTCTTGGAAACGAATTCATATCTTCCGAAGTCCTTTTTTTCAATGTCCCTTCACGCCACTGACAAACAATCCCGATGCTTGATTTTTTGTCCCTAAGCTGGATGTCTTATAGTGCAATTCCCGACTATGAAGTGCCGACCTAACTTCTTTCAGTTTCACTGTATCTTTGCCAACAATGAACGATTTCAGGAAGTTCTCGAAGTAGTTTGGCAGAGATACCAATAAGATTAGTGTCGAGTCTTCATCCTCCACCTTAACATCGATGTTATGCAGCTTCAGTAATATCAAATTTAACTTGTCAAGATGGTTAAGAATTAATACCTTCTTGCATACGCAAGAAGAGTTGCTTCAGAAGTAGCTTGTTTGTTAGAGATTTTGTCATATGCAAAGTCTCCAACTTCTGCCACAAACTAGCAGCGGTTTTCTCATCCGATACTTCGATGATGATCTCGTCTGCTAGACACAACAATTTTTTTGAGAACGCCTTCTCTTCTAGAGCCTCCAAAATAGCAGCATCAGATTTCTTTAGTGACAATGGTCCCCGGATGCCTTGTTGCTTCAACAACACCTGCATCTTGATCTGCTAAAGACTGAAGCTATTTCTCCCATCAAACTTGTCGATCTTCGCGTTTATCCTAGACATCTTCTCACCAGATCACCAACTCCGAGCTCTGAAACCAGTTTGTTGTATCGAACGTGAGAAGGAACATCTACGGAAACAGATGAATAAAGCGATGTAACTACGACACAAATATTTAACGTGGTTCACCAACTTGGCTACGTCTAAAGGCAAAGAGAGATCTTATTATCGGAGGTGATATTGAGCTTACAGAGTGCAAGTTTAGGGTTACTTAGAATACAAGATATATATAGTAGCATCTCGCATCTAAAACTCTAGACTATACAGACTCATAAGCCTAAGCCCACGATCAGATGTAACATCCATAATAACTTGATGCAACGCTCTTGATGCAACCGAATCAGTATGATGTACGTGATGTAGCATCCAACGTCTAGATGCAACATTCAGATTCAAGACATATCAACACTTTTATCCAAACATTTTGCAAAGCATACAAAAAGATATGGGCTTCACCATCTAGACTTAAGCGAACTCCAGTAACTTTCGCAGAACCAGCAAAAATGAAGGAACCTTTATCATCACGGATTATCCATTCTAGTCCTGCAAACTCATTATCCTTTAAAAAACTATTAGCAAAGCTAACCCAATATTAAATTATTTTGATTCAAAATATTTTTGGTAATTATATATTTATTTTATTAATATAATGACGATACTAGACTACTTTTTGCAACACAACCAGATGTG